TCCAGCAGCAGTGAGCTGTTCATACATAAGCTTGAGTGAAGGAGACCGCTGGGAGGCAGAAATGAATGAATGAAATGACGGTGGTAAGAAGATACGTGTATGTAAGAAGGAACTGGGGTCTCAGTGCCTGAGAACGCATGTCAGTGGGACTGTGTGGGTCGAGAAGGCCGTGAATGTCAGAGAGAGTGTTGATTTGTTGAGCTGCCATGCTGGCTCAGCATTACTGGTCAGATTGCCAGTGTACAAAGCACCGTCTTGGAGACAGTGGCTGGTACCTGGAATGCTGTCAGGAGGCAAGTGTCTGAACATCCTCCTCAGATTGCTTCAGCTGCCGTAACAAAACACTTTAGACACTGGAAATTATGAAGAACAGACATTGGCTTCTCATTCTGTACTGTGAGAAGTCTAAAATAAAGGCACTAAAGGGAAGGTCTGGAGGGTTGCCATCTGATGGGTTCAAACAGCACAATAATGGGGGACGCTGCCCGATCTCTGGGTTTGGCTAGTGTCGTACACATCAAACGAAATGCCACAGCAAACCTCCAAGGCACATACCGTCAATACAGCAAAGTTTTATCTGAAAAAAAAAAAAGAGACTTTGGCATTAATAACTGCTGCTCCCTGAACTTGCAGCCGCGCCTTCCTGGTGTGTGGGCATGGAAAGTGTGCGCTAGGATAATTGTATGTCTGGAGTGTAACACGAAAGACCTTCTGAGGATGTCTCTCGGCATGTTCTCAATTTTCAATTTCTAAATAATGTCTTCAGTTCACTTCAGATATCAATGTCTATTTGTTGTAACGTGTTGCCTTTCTTAAGGGGGGTTGCATGTTCGTCTAATCGGGCAGCTTGAATGCTAGAGCTTGTGCACGCTAGAGGCGGTGTTTTGTATTCTCTCTCTTATGGCTCTGACAGGGAATTTACTGAAACAACTGATAATAACTTTCCCAGATCCAGTTAAAATAGTAATTAGGAACAACTTTAGGTGGCAATGTTTCTAAGAAAAGAAAAAAAGGCAACGTCAGGTGGTGTGTGTGAGTAGGAAACATGGATGAACTGGTGACCTGTATTTGTGTTTTCAAAGTTTTTGATTGCAAAAAATCACCAAAGAAAACCAAACCAAACCAAACCAAACCAAACAACCAAACAAAACAGGATGAACCAGCTTGGGAGGAAAAGGAATGTGTTAACTTAGGAAAGATTGACTAGTCTCAGATTGGTGAGAAGGAACAGTAAAGCTTCTGTGGTCTGTCTTTTCTCCGGCTCTTTCTGTGCTGTCTTTGTGGTAACCACTGTGCTGGGTCGTCTTCCCACATGCAGAAACACATCACTTGTGGCTTCTGTGACCTCCTGCTCTAGTCTTTTAGGGGAGCAGACTATTTTTTATAGTTGAAGAAACCCGAGGACAGCTTGATGGGCTGCACAACCATCCCTGAGCTGGTCGACTGTGGTCTGCAGAAGATGGTTTGAGAATTCTGGACTGCAGTAAAGAGTGAATGATTTCCCAGAATTTTCCCCTCCCCACTTCTGTTTCTTCATGCTTTTTCATTTCACCCCAGTTTGACCTCCTGTTGTCACCTCCTTTAGCTGCCAAGTTCATTCTTGTTGGTCTTTAGAAGCCACATCTAGTCATGCTCTGCTTTGATCCTGTTCTTGGGGCGGAATATTTGTGGGATGAAGACTCCATTCATGCTCAGCCCAATTGAATGTATTGTTATGCTCATGTCATCCACTTCAGAGATGAGGGTAAGGCCAGGGCAGGTGGGGGCAGATGTTTCTCCCGCCATCTCCCCATGAACTTGCTGATGGATTCTGCAGAGACCTACCTGCAGTGCTGTCTCTGCCTTGAGATCCCAGAGGCAGCATTAAGAGCCAGCAGACCTCTGGGTGCCCTCTGTTAGAATTTGTGGACTTTCCTATGGACACTAACCTGGGTTGGGGGAGCGGAGTGCGGATAGGGTCATGAGGCAGTGTGCTAGGAGCAAGAACCCACAGGAAGAAAAGTGATGGGAGTTTACAAAAATTCCAGTTCATCCCAGATTCCTCCCATCGCCTCTCCCTTTTGTTTTAAATTTTAATTTATTCAATTGCAAGTTGTTTTTGGAGAGCCCCACTCCGCTCCTCATGTTCCAACAAGCAAGGCACCACATCTTAGGCGAGTAACTTGGAAGAAGGCGAAAATGGAAATTGCTCCAAAGAGCTCCCGTCACCAGTGCCCCGTGGCTGTGCTTACCCCAGTTGGATAGAACGAGAAAGGTACCTCTCCCCTCTTTACTGCCGCATTAAAACTAAAGCAAAACACACGAAGCTTCAGTCTTAGATAAAGATAACATTAACCACAAGGGGACACATGCGTCCGTGTGTTTTCTCTGTTCCAAACAATTGCCGGGGCAGTCATGACCTCCATATAAATGTACAGAGCTGAACATTGTTAATTCATGGTCCAAAATTCAGAACAGGTGATGCAGCAGCTCTCTAAGATCCTCTAATAAATAGTTGCGAGCAGGACATCTTGGAACCACAAAGACATGTTATCCTAGCCCGAGGCAAAGGCAGGGCTAAACCACCGCCTCCTGTTCCCCCTTCTCTATCCTGCTCCTTTTATGTGTCGAAGGTCGCTCCTTCTTCCAAAACGGCTCTTCATTTCTTCTCACAGCCTGTACCCAGGTCTGCAGCAAGTTTCCTTTCTGTTTTGTAAGTAGTTTACTCCTCCAAAAGAGAAATTTTTTTTTGTTTTCCTTTAGGGTTTTGCCCTTAGTTTGTAATTTGTAAATGGAGTCATACTCAGATTCTCCCTGAGCCTCTGGCAGATTTACTGGAGACACACTGTCTTCTTTTGTTCTGTTTAAGAAAATGACATATTAACAGACCAAGGGGCCGGGGTAGTAAGATGGGTAGACCCCAGCACATGACTGCCGGCCTGATACTACTTCTCTGACGGCAGCTTTGTATGCCTGTGGCTCCCTGAAGAAGCTCCTGCTGCCCTTTCTCTCATACGTTCCAGCTGCCTCCAGCTCGGCTTGCGGTACCTTTCATCCTTCCTCCCACTGGTAGTGACTTGTAGCACTGGTGGCTTTCCAATACACCTTCCCGCCACAGCGCATTCCCGTCAGAAGAGGCTTCGGCGTCCGAGCAGTCTCATTTCTCATCTCTGTCTTCCATAAGTATCTGTGGCCCATTGCCTAATCTCTGTGACTCTCAGTTTATAGGATGGAGACAGTAACCTTAGTTTATAGCTATGCAGTTAATATTAAGTATGTAGACCAGATGCAGGAACAAAGACTAATCCTGAGGCTGGTACATGGGAGATGCCGGATAAAGGATAGATACCATTATTCCCAGAATGCATTGCATACTGGCTTGATACTGCATAGAGGCTTGATACTCCTTTCAATGTTTCTCACAACAATTTGCTCTTTTTTTAAGTGTCATTTGAAACTAAAACTCAACTATCACGCTGCGCCATATGCCCTTAGCTCTGTCTCACTATGCCTTGATGAAGCTGTCTTGACCTTGTTCTCATGGCTCCTTTCTGAGTTCTGTTTTGCAGAACTCAGTGCAGACTTAGAACTTTTCCAAGGCATATAACAAAAACCTCACATGGATTTGAGTATCTGGCTGTTGAGATCTTTGTTTTGTCTTGTCTTTGTGGGTGAGGAGAAGCATCCAAATAAGTCTATTAGTATCACAGGTCAGTTCAAACTCAATATGGAAGCAAAATTTTGGTAGAAGTTCTGAACTAGATTTCTGTGCCATCATGGCTAATTTTATAATCCTGTTTGAACCATCACTGTTGTTTAAGCAAAGGAAATACAGTCTCCACCATCAGGGCTTGTAACCTTTTCAAGATGAGCACAAACAAAGCCATGTGCTACCTTATTTCCGTAAGTGGGAGTCGGAAATACACAAGTGGATAAGAGCAAACAGGATCTAATTTAAAAAGCTGAATCTCCTAGCAGCCTACTTCAGACCGCTACTCACTCTATCCTGGTGCCCCTTCAACTGCTTGGATTTTCCTACAAAAAAAAAAACAAAAAACAAAAAACAAAAAACAAAAAACCTGCAGAAAAACAGATGCAATGTCGTAGGAGAAAATGGCTAAAGATGCGTCACCTGAATCTGTAGTTTGAAGTACAGAGAAAACAAGGAGGATGCCGGGACTGCAGCGGCATCGCAAGGATGCCTGTAGCGGAGGCTCACACCCTCAGCCCAGACTGCCATTTCACCCGGGTGTGGAGATGTCTGGAAGGGTGACTTAGCTCATTCTGGGTGGTTTGTATGTTCCTGGCTGAAACAGACAGCTGCTATGGAGGACACTCACAATAATCCGATAGAAACGAGTAGGTTTACATGGACTGTCAGTGCCAATTGCCTTTTCCATTTTAACTAGCTTCATGTCCCCTCCACGATTCAAGAAGTGTCACAGAAGTCCACTTATTGACTCCCAAATTCCAGCCACCCAAATTGTCATTAGGATGCGACCTTTATTGTTAAAATTAAAATATCTATCATTTAGCCTTTCTTCGTGTCCATCCCACACATATATATAAAAGACTAAGACATGATCTGTCATCTCTAGTAAGGTAAGAATAATATTTTGATGTGGAAAAGAGGGAGTCAGAGAATTTGTATCAGTAGACTTGATGTCTATTTTCTATGTGTAGGGAAAATAAACGGGAATAATAACAATACAACGTGAGAGCCTGGAAGAGAGCAAGGAGTATTGCAGAATGAATAAGGGAAGTAGACATGGGCTAAACATAAAAAGAGAAAATGGCTGACGTTCTGCAACTCTCGAAGTAAATACCTGCCTCATCTTCATTGTTACCACCCACCATCATCTCCAACCTCAGGAAAACCTCAGGGTGTCAGTGTCCTTTATGTAACAGAGAGGGATGTTCCGTTGGAGACTGAACCATCACTGCTGCTGTTTCTGTGCTCACTGTGGGATGATAAGGCCCTGTCATTTATGACAGCGTCACTGTCATTTGTATTTGTGTAGGTTGAGCCAGTAATAGAGAGAGGCCATGAGAGCTTGGTCCACCACATCCTGCTCTACCAATGCAGCAGCACTTTTAACGACAGCGTTCTGGACTACGGACATGAGTGCTACCATCCAAATATGCCTGACGCCTTCCTCACCTGCGAAACTGTGATTTTTGCCTGGGCCATTGGTGGAGAGGTGAGGCTAATAGTGATGACCAGCCCATAGACAGTCATTTAATTGTGCTTCTCCTGCATGTGTGGTTCTAGCAGAAATACACTGGTCTCACACAAAATATACATAAAGGTTTACTTATGTGTCTGTTTTAGTAGGAAAGAATTCTTCCCTTAAATGGTTGTATTTGATCTATGCTTTATGAATGGTGTTGTTTCTTAAGCTGAAATGTCTTGGGGGAATGGTTGGGCTTGGGGACCAGACCTCTAAGAGACTTCCACAGGTCACTGTCTTGTGTAATTTTTTTTCCATATTTAGGGCTTTACCTATCCACCTCATGTTGGATTATCCCTTGGCACGCCACTGGATCCTCATTATGTGCTCTTAGAAGTCCATTATGATAATCCCTCACACAAGAAAGGTAAGCCCTTCCTTTGTGTTACCTATCAGTTTTAAAAGGTCATGTAACTATTGTCTGTAACTTAGTTGAAGTGAAGTGGGAAGTTTTATATTAGAAAGTGTTAACGTGTACATTGACCATCTAAATCAAAATGCCTTAAAAAGCAAAACAGACTGACACTGGGATGACAGCCATTAACCAGCAGCCTCCGGGCACACAGGCATATGTGATCACAAATCCTAAGAATACACTCTCATGTTCCCCACCAAGAGGTATGGGGGTAGACAGTTCCCTTCATGATGTAAATTAGTTCCAAATACATGTGTTTAAAAAAACTCTCTCTCTCTCTCTCTCTCTCTTTCTCTCTCTCTCTCTCTCTCTCTCTCTCTCTCTCGTGTGTGTGTGTGTGTGTGTGTGTGTGTGTGTGTGTGTGTGTGCGTGCGCACTGGCTATCTTCCTCAATTGCCCTCCATCTCATTTTTTGAGACAGGATGTGGGAGTTTGAATGAGAACAGCTCCTATAGGCTCATATTTGAATTCTTGATCCCCAGTTGCTGCAACTGTTTGAAAAGGTTTGGAGGTTGTCTTAGTGGAGGATTTGTGTCATTAGAAGTGGGCCTTGAGGTTTCAGAAGCCCACAGCAGCCAGGCCCAGTTAGTTCTTTCTCTTGTGGTTGTTGTTTCAACACGTAAAACTCTCAGCTACTGTTCGCCAGGGTCATATCCCCTGTCACCATGCTTCCCACCATGATGATCAAGGACCAACCCTCTGGAGCTGTAAGCCAGCCCCCAGTAAACTCTTTCTTTTATAAGCTGCCTTGGTCATGATGTCTCCTCATAGCCATGGAAAAGTCATTAAGACACAAAAGTAATTATCTCTCACTAACCTGGACCACACTGGATTTACCAGAGTGGCTTATCAGAAAGCCCAGGGGATCCTTCTGTCTTTCCTTCCTCAGTGCTGGTATTAGAGGCATGCTGGGAATTGAACTCAGGTCCTCATGCTTACCGATCATGCACTTTCTCAGCTGAACCATCTTTCCAGCCTCAAACATTTTTCTTTCTAACTACACTTATGAAAAAGCCACCATCCATCACACTAAAAGCTACTGGCAATTTGTTGTTTGATAGACCCTCAGCAACGGTACTCAAGAAATATCTCTGGTAAAGAACTGTATGATAAGAGGTAGATGTGAGGATGTTCATTTGATTTCTGAACTTACTCATAGCATTTTCCAAAGCAAAGAAAGAAAATCATAGATTCAATGTGAAATCATCAATGAAAACAGTCTTGATTATTTTACTCCATAATTTTTCAGTAAACATTAAACATCAGGTAGGTGTTGGTTCTGTGCCTGAAGATAATATGAGTGAAAAAGATACCCGTTCACCCATGGAAGTGATAGTCATAGCCGTGTATAATGGTGAATGTGTGTAATCCCAACACGTGGGCCCTAAAAGCAAAGGATTGCCAGCGTGGTCTACATACTGAGAAACTGACTCAAAACAAAACAAAAGGAAACATACAAAAAGTTAAGAGTCCAGCAGGAAACAGAAACAATTCAAATAAAACCACGTGTTTCTGCCAGCTGATACAGTGTGAGGGGACTTAATTGCCGACCTAACTAAGCCAGGAGGATGGGGTGGTCGTTTATAAAGGGTTCCCTGTAAAGACCGACTCTTCATAGATACATATCGAGGTACCTGTGGGAAAGGTTTCAATTAATTAAAATTAATTGCAGGTTTATAGATTCTGGATCACATATTCTCCCTCCCGTTAGTCACGTGTCACAGCAAAGAACCTTACACGGTCCACGACATACCCACTCTATATAACTGCCTGATGAGTTTGTTAAGGATTAAGGGAATGTGAATAAACTGTGCAGAGCTAACCTTGAGTTGTTTTCTTGTCAGTAGCTGAGCAGTCTATACCATTCAGGAAGACTTGAAGTCACCCGCAACAATATAAAGTAAAACCAGGGTTACCGAATGTTACAGTGAATGGCTTTAAAGCTTTTGTGCTGTTGTGTGTTAGGTAACTGTGAAACACGCTAGATGACGCAAGCACGTCCTCCGTAGCATGTTGCGTGCTTATAGTCACGGTGGTGATTTGTGTTCTAATTTCTGTTCACAAAGCTAATTCTCATCTTGTACTCATTTCTGCTTGTCCTCCTTTCCTCGTGAGATTTTTCTAACAGAAGTGAATGATCTATCTCAAATGAATGTGAAAACTTCTTAAAGGTGTTCAAATGCACTCTTTGTTACGTGCTCTTGTTACAGGTTTAATAGACAGTTCTGGGCTGAGGTTTTTCCATACCACGGATATAAGGAAATATGATGCAGGAGTGATTGAGGCTGGGCTCTGGGTGAGCCTCTTCCACACAGTCCCTCCCGGGATGCCTGAGTTCCGCTCTGAGGGTCACTGCACTCTGGAGTGTCTAGAGGAGGTAAGCACACTAGCTCATGTTCTCACACATACCGCTCTGAAGGCTCCCTTGCATGTTCACTGAGTTCAATGATGGCTACCTGCAAGGCCATTGCTGTATCTTCCGTAGGGCCCTTGCCTGCCTGTTGTAAATCTCCAAGGCTGGAAGAGAAGAGTCATGGAGGGCAGAATGACCTGTGAGGTGTTTTCTTCCTTCCCGGACCAGTTTTGTTCCTACTTCCTTTGGGCATTCTATGACTTTTCTTCCTTTGCACAGTTTCTTTTTTTTCTTTCTCCATTTCACCTGTCATTTCCATGATTCACTTTGTTTTTTTCTCTTCTCTGCTGTATAGCTTCCTTCACCTAGTAAGAACGAGCAGTGTGAAATAAGCAAGGCAAGCTGTAAGCTGTAGGGTTTCAGCCACCAACCCCATTAACAGTTTTTCTCTTGAAGTGTTTCAATATGGATCGTATTATTTATGAAATACGGGATCCTCTGACCGTGGTGGAGTGGAAAGAACATGCTCTGCCGAGTCATGGAGACCCCGACTCAGATTACCATGACAACACGCCTCAGCTGCAGGCCCAGGGTGAATTATGTAATTCCACTGGGAAAGATGCCCTCTTTTATCTGGGAAAATGGGAACAGCTCCTCCGTTTGAGAATCTGCATTTTCCAGTTGTTGACCTGCTGCTGTACACTTTTCACAGAGGCCCTTGTCTGTCTTTCCATCTCCCAGAGGAAGGGAGGAGAAAGCTAATTTCCGCGGGACCTGCTACCTTTCCCTTCCTCATCCTGGCAAATGCTGATCACAAAGAGAACAGGCGACAATCAAAATTTAGAGTGTTAGGCAGCTCAGGCTTTCCCTGAAATCGCTTCTTCTTTTCTGTCGGCTCTATGTCTCAATAAGGCTGAGCTGTCTGAGCATGCCAACTCACTGGGCTAATGGAGTCCTCCTGGCTATTCCGCAGGCCTTGGGGGCTGAGAGGCCCAGCGGAATCCACGTGTTCGCGGTTCTCCTTCACGCTCACCTGGCGGGCAGAGGCATCAGGCTGCGTCATTTCCGCAAAGGGGAGGAAATGCAGTCGCTGGCTTACGACGAGGATTTCGACTTCAATTTCCAGGAGTTTCAGTATCTGAAGGAAGAACAAACAATCTTGCCAGTAAGCATGCGCACCCTTCCCCAGAGCACGTGTCATGAGGTTTAGCCCCTAAGATGCAGCAGGATCCTGCCAGCCAAGAGAACTGCTCACCGCCTTCATTGTCTTAAAGCCACCCACTGTGGGTGTTGCAAACATCAGAGTTCAGAATATGTTTGATCTGCTTCCCAAACTAGAAACTCACTTTTCCCACCATTCCCCCTGGGGCAATCCCAGTTCTTGATTAAAGAAGGGAAGAAAGAAAAAACAAAACAAAACAAAACAGCAGAAGAGCTCAGATTCAGATCACTGATTCTTTAGGTTGCAATTATGATAATAGCAAAATTGCATGTTACGCTAAGTCATCTTAAAGAGGGGACACATTTTATTAGTTTCGTTTGAGTGGAAAATGAACCTAGGGTAATTCTTCCACCAGAAGAGCAGGGCTGGAGAAGTGGCTCAGAGGGTAAGAGTGCTTGGTGTGCAATCATGGGGGCTTGAGTTCAAATCCTCAGCAGCTTTGTAGAAACTGTGCATAACCCTGTATGCCTATGACTAGCATGTTGGAGGACAGAGATGGGAGGATCAGTGACCGGAAGCATATGTGTATGTACCTGCACACACACACACACACACACACACACACACACACCATAACACACACCCTAAGAAAAGATATCAGACAGTTAATTACTCTTTGCTTTGTGAGCCACTTTGTAGCAAGGGTGGAAGAAGAGAATTGTATGTCTTCCAATAGTGAAACCTTTTCTTTAATTTTATGATGCACTGTCTCCCTTCTAGGCCCATCAAAGTTTATTGTTTTGTTTTGAGACAGGCTTTCTCAACTTGCTGGACTTGCTCTGTAGACCAGGCTGGCCTGGAACTCACAGAGATCCGCCTGCCTCTGCCTCCCAAGTGCTGGGATTAACCATGTGTGCCACCGTTGCCACCAATTTTTTTTAAAGTTTTTTTGACCTGTCTTTTTTCTTTTCTTTTTTTCTTTTCTTTTTTCTTTTTTTTTTTTTTTTATGATTGTACTTTACTCATAACTCTGCCTCATGCTTCCTTTTGGAAATCTTTCTATACCTCAACAGATGTAAGATGTTTTGAGAAAGAGTCATTTGTTGTGGTTTTTCTGTACTGCTCTTTCTCTCCTTGTGTTGGTCTCGCTGGCTGTTCCAGAGCACCCACTTTCTAAGAGGGGCTTCCTTCAGGGCATAGGCAAACTGAGGTGCTGATCTTCCATGAGGAACACCCAGGGGCCAGTGTCAGAGATGCCTGCCTCCGCCCATGAATACTTGTTCCCTGCACTTAACAAGGGGCTTATTTTTCTCCTATCATGTTTGCCCGAGGGATCAACTCAGCCTGTCATGTTTGAGAGCAAGAACTTTTATCCACTGAGCCATCTCACTGGCCCTTTAAATCTGCTTTCAAACTTGTTATTCTTACATAACTTGTGAAATGACACCAGCAGAAATATCTTATCTACATGGTGGAAAAGCTATAAAAATATCGTTTTTATGTGTGTTTTAATGTTCAAAAAGTTGGATAGCACCAAAACAATAAATTTCTATTAATATCCAAGGAAATAACAATATAACTAAAAAGCTTTAAGGATGATAACAGGCAAATAAGCAAGCGAGTCATATCTTACCTAGTATTTCACTAAATAATTCATCTCTACTGAGGACTAAATACTAATTATGTCATCAGATGTTCTCATAAGAGCTGTGTAAACGAAGTGCTATTTTTACTCACTATGCTCAGATGAACACATCGTGTCCAGATTGTTTAGTTCTTTTTTTTTTTTTTTTTTTTTTTTTTTTTTTTTAACCCTAGCTGTCCGGTTAGACTATTGTAGAGTCTGGCCTGAACTTGGAGAGCCCACTTGGTCTGCTTGCTTTTCATTACAGTGACAAACTGGAGTTAAAACAAATCAGTCTTCTGAGTCAATCTGCTCGACGCATTCCCTCAGGCAGGAAACACAGACTGTTGGTCTAATGGTGCATTAGGTAACTGTCACCTGAAGGCTCTTGCTTTTGTTGCAGGGAGATAACCTGATTACTGAATGCCGGTACAACACCAAGGACAGGGCCGGGATGACTTGGGTAAGAAAATGTTATTCTTCCAGTTCATGGAAAGAGAGGGAGAAATAACCTCATATTGTAAAGAAGAAAAATAAAAAGCAGAGTCCCTATCTTGCAACAAAACTCTGAAATACTTGTGCATGAAGCATCGTAAAGGGTGCCGTGTTAGTTTTTATCAGACTTCAAACCTCTGATGGCACTTTGGTAATAACTATGGTGTAATTTATTGGTTCTGTGGAAAAGCAACATTTCCCTTATCTCTCACTTTGTCCTCACCAAATAGACCAAGCATTAACTCATCTCTACATTACTTGGGTCTACTTGGGTGTTTGCTTAGATAAATCCAGACTTCAAAGGGAAGAATAAAGTACATGAACTCAGAGCTTCTGACCCAAAGAGAAATCTGGTCCCAGCAGATTTATTGGAGACTTTTCCACCAAACTTGCAAGAAATAGATGCTTCACACTTTGCTCAGTCTCTTCCAGGAACACGAGTGGAGGTCATCTCCCACCAGCTCATCTTTTGAAGAGAATACACTCTTCACTCTAAAGCATGAACCAGGCCAATATTCACCTTTGGAAAAATATTAAAACACTGCATCCCATTTTATATAGTAATCTACTGTTATACCTGGTTTGGGTTTAGGTAAAGAATATAAAATTGAATTAAGTCAGAAAATGTAGCCTGCTATTCCATGTTATGAGGTTGAAGGAAAAAAAGAGATGATTTCTGTAAGAGAGGGAGAGAAAAAAAAAACATCCTAAAACTTAAGCCTATTACAAGGCAAAGAAAAAGGCAGTAGCCAGGAATACCAGGGAACTGCCTTACCCAGGTCGAAGTTAGCTATAGCCAGTGTTATATCAGATGTTAAAAATCTTTGTTCACAGTTGTAAAGCAGGCAGGAACATTTATTAGTACTGGCTCTGTTGGCTGTTGGGCCAAAATTTCATTGTGCCTTCTTGGGAAAGATTGAAATAAAAATTATAAATATCAAGGAAGAAAAGGTGAGCGAGTAAAACACATCCAAACCTCCCCACAACTTCTACTTAAGAGTAATTGCATTTTAATGTCAGAAAACAATCTTTTGGTTAAATAATTGAAAATAAGTTATGTAGAAATAAAATCCAACATTGGATATGGTGAATGTTGTAGATAAAAATATAAGTATTTGCATGAGACAATAAATAATAGCTAAAGAAATTAAGAGATGTCGTGTTCATGTATCCTATGCTCAAAGTACACATTTATATGAAAATAACCTCATTAAATAACCTTATTAAATCCAGTAACACATACAGTTGAATGTACAGCAATAAAAAATTTTAAAATAGCAATAAAACCCCAAAAGGAAAAACTAAGTAAAAGGAAGAAAACCTTCTATTTAAGGTGGTCTATAATTTATGTGATTCTAGTAAAAAAAAAAAAAAAAAAAAATTAAAGCAACTTCACAATTTAGTGTTTTGGTCACTTCTTAATTATTAATAATTAATGCTTTAATAAATAATAAATAATAAATAATAAATAATAAATAATAAACCTAGCCATCACTAAGATTTTCTCCTCTTCCTTCATTTTTTGTGAGAGCTTTTGCTGTTTTAGTGTTTACATGCCACAGACATATACTTGGAAGAGTGAAGGGTCAAGAATCAGATACTGAAGAGAGTCCTATGGGAAGTGAGCTAAAGCAAGCCTTATTTCAGAGCCTGGGTGGTTTGGGTCCACAGTTAGGATCCCTGCCACAGAACTACAAACCCTACATCTTGAAATCTGGTTGAGGATTGACAGGGCATTCGGGTAAGTGAGGCATTGTGGGTTTTTTGATTTAAGGGTGCTGGCATGATCAACTGCCCATAATAAGAAAAATATAAACGTGTATTTATCATGGATAATGTTCTGCCTGCATGTGTGCCTGCATGCCAGAAGAGGGCACCAGTTCTCATTATGAATGGGTGTGAGCCACCCTGTGGTTACTGGGAATTGAACTCAGGACCCCTGGAAGAGCAGCCTGTGCTCTTAACCACTGAGCCATCTCTCCAGCCCAAATGTGACTTTTTATAAGATTTTTTGCTATCTGTTGTTTAGATTATTTCTGAACCAGTTTTTAAATCCATTAATTCTTCCCTAGGTCATAGCAGGGAAGCTATGTGTTGTTGAATTTTTCTTGTGCACTTCTTACTCCATTTTGCATGTTCAGGATGTAACATCCCCTCTGTCTGGGTTTTCTCTCTCTAGTGTCGCATCTGAACTCTTCTCTCATTTTGATCGTATTTGTCTTTAATTACTTGACTTTTGCAGCCTTTGCTAAACCTAACATCTGTATCTTCTCGTGATTTGTAACCATTGGCTTCTTTTCCTTGAGTAGAAATCATAGTTCACTGTTTCTGTAATAAATTTTGGTTGAAAACTGGTCAATGGAAAATGTTGGAGCAACTCCAGATAATTCAGAGTTGAAGCTTTGATTAAAATATGGTGGAATATCGCCTGCTTCTTTCTAAAATGTGTTGCCTTTCGCCACTGCGGCACACAGCTGCTGACACTTATATATAAAGATAATATCATAAAAATCTCGGATCAGCTAAGAAAACACTCCGGCAGTATGTGGGAGGCAGAGGCGAGAGGGTAAGAAATTCAAAAACAGTTTGGTCTCCGTAAGAGCCTCTCTCTCCCTCACAACCCTGAATATTTCCGTTAAAGTGATTTGTGACATGCAAACATCTCCAGGAACCTCCGGAATGTCTACCGTGGCACACGCTCATACCATATCAGCAGAACGCATAAAGGGCTGCAGTGGGTTATCTCAGAAAGGTATCGTTTAAAGAGATAGAAATAAACTTAACTCGATGTTTCAGTGTATTTTTTGAAGGTGAAGAGTCCTTTAAATTAATAAATTTCAAGCCAGCTACTTAGGAGGCAGAGGCGAAAGAATTGTGAGTTCAAGGGCAACCCCAGGGACTTAGTGAGAGCCGGTATTAAAACTGTTTAAAAACAAGCTCAGTCAAGAGAGTGGTGGTAGTGGTTCCTCCAGCAACCCCAGGGCAGGGATTTGACCCTCATTACCAAGGAGATAATGATAACAAGCCGTTACTTGCACATGAAAAAGATCAAATGTGTTTCAGAATTGGGCAGATCTGCATGACACGCTTGCCCTTGTGTTCTGTGTGTGAGAGCTGGCAGAACTTTGCAAAATAACCCATCTCCGTTTTCAGGGAGGACTGAGCACCAGGAACGAAATGTGTCTCTCGTACCTTCTCTATTACCCGAGGATCAACCTGACTCGGTGTGCCAGCATCCCGGACATCATGGAGCAGCTGCAGTTCATTGGGGTGAAGGAGATCTACAGACCTGTCACGTGAGTAGGCTCCCAGGAGCAGGTGTTGTCTTCACACTGAGGCAGTCATCTTATTTTGGGTGACTTCATGTGCTGCTGGTTGCTTGGAACTCGGGAGACCAAGTAATCTTGGTTGCTGTGTCCAAGATCCTCCAAAACACCCTTGGGATCAGTGATTTCTAGGGAGACCTATAGCATTCAGCCCATAACTGTTCTTGTGGGTGAAGTTATTGCAAGAAAAAGATACAAAAGGAAACAGACAAAGGAACAGGCAACCTTCAGAGCACCCAAGCTCCCAGAGGCCTCTCTGGGAAGCCACATGGAACATACAACCAGTTGCGCTGATGTCCCTGAAGGCAGCTCTCCTGGAGAAGCTCTGTAGAACAGCTGTGCCAGACATTTTACTGGGGTTGCTTCTGTGTTGCTGCCTGCATAGGGCATGCCCAGGTTACAAACTTGACGACACAAAGCAAGTGGTAAGTCAGCACAGGGCACATCAACTGTAGTGCCCGGGCAGGCTGAGCCTTCTGATCATTTAGAGAAAGTTTTATAGCAGTCTAGGATACTGCTACCCATTTTAAGTTTCCAGCCAGTAGCCAGAATTCAACCATGTAGGTAGCCTTTTTTGCCTTGGGTGTGGCCTTTCTGTAGGGTGTGTGTTGCCCTCAAATCTGTGATCCTCCTGTCTCTGACTCCCAGGTGCTAGGATTCTGGTTGTGTGCTTTCATGGGCAGGGAAGAAGAAGGTGACTGGTCATAAAGGCAGCTGATTCAAGCCTGCCCTGTAAACACTGTATGGCTGCGTATCACAGAAATGAGTATGATTAGATATGGAGATTACTCTTTTCCTCTTAAGGTTATGTCCTAGAGCTTTGAGTGATATAACAGACAAATATATGGACCTATATAACATTGAAATAGTAGCCAATGTTATAAAACAGTGAAAAGAAAGAAGGGCAGGATTATCACTTGCTAGCAGAAGTGTCACCTTTCTGAGAAGGTGATTATTTGAGCAGGGACTTGCAGTCTGAGAAGCCAGCAATGGGAAGATAGGCAAAGGGATTGTAGGCAGAGAGAAAAGAGAACCGTGTGTGTGTGTGTGTGTGTGTGTGTGTGTGTGTGTGTGTGTGTGTGTGACGAGCCTGCTGGGTTTGGCTAGGCTAGAGTGAAGAATGGCAGAGACTATGAAGAGGTGGGGTCAGAAGGAGACTGGGCCACAGAGACCATCCTAGAATAGTACAAAACGAAGCTACCGTGGGACAGGAGCAAAAACCATTTGGCTAAGCCGGCAGAGGTGCTCGACTTTCCTAATGTTGCGACCCTTTAATATGGTTCCTCATGTTGTGGTGAGCCCAACCATAAAGTTATTTCATTGCTGCATCATTACTGTAACTTTGCTACTTGTCTGGATTGTGACGTAAATATCTGATAAGCAGGATATCTGATATGCAACCCAAAGGGGTCGCGACCTACAAGTTGATAACCCCTGGGCCAGGGTGACCAAGAAGGACTGCAGGGGGATCAGACGGGGGAAAACAGTAAGTCAGGAATTTACTGTGATTGTCCACTGAAAGCCACGAGCACGGTGGGCCTGGGTAGTGGCGCCAATTTTGACAAGGGAAGTGGTTTTTCGTTCAGATGTCTCTGGGAAAAGAGCCCCTGAATGGCCCTTCGGCTGAGCACATCTGAGGGAGGAGAAAGAGGAACATGAGTTCAGTGAGTGGTCTTGGGACAGAGGCGTGGCCTCATGCCAAGGATATGCTACAGGAGATGCTGAGAGTTTTCTTCCTTTCTTCCTACTTTCTTCTAAGCTCAGTTTTCCTGTATTTTATTTGAAGATTTGTTTTAATTATTTTAAATTATGTATGGGGGGAGGTTATGTGCACAGGAGTGAGATGGTCACACAGGCCAGAGGTTTCAGATGTCCCTTGGAGCTGGGGTTTCAGCTGGTTATGACCTGTTAGACTTGGATACTGGGACTTGAACTGGGGTCCTCTGGAAGAGCAATATATTATCCTCAACCACTGAGTGATCTCTCCAACCCTCTTTCCCAGACTACGTGATTCTCTTTACCCATGTGGTTTCATGAGACTCCCATCTCATTTCTTGCTTATGCTGAGGGCATCTTTCCAAAACCTCATCAGATATATTTGAACCTAGGCTTTCTTCTTGACACATCACATCTGGGGATCAGGTGACTCATTTTCTGCACACATGTTTTCATATTTTGAGAAGTTGCAGGGTGGGACTGGATGCCCCCTGCTTGAATATGTGACCTGTTCCTGCTTGACTTCTCTCTGGTGGGTTATATTACTTTCAGGGAAGACCGTGTCAGCTCTGGGCAGGGTTGTCCAGTCTCTTGCCACTCTGTAGCCTTCTGTCTGTCTGAGAGATCCCATCTGGGCTGTGTTCCTTCCAGTCATTTAGCGGGGTGTGAACCGGATTAGGAGACCTCACGGAGGCAGTTTTCCCACCTTCCTTCATTAAGAATCGGGTTGTGAAGGTCACTGCATGGTGTCCATCTTGGCTTTGTTTTCTTCTTGGTGACCTGCTATCGGCAGTTGTGTTGACCCTTTAGGTCAGTTGCTTGAGGCATAATTTACAATTAAGTGTGCCTGTTAAGACCATTCACAGGTCTCTGAGCTGGATCACTGGGACGATGCCCAATACCTGTGCGATCGGCAAAGACGCTCCACTCCGGCTAGCTGGGACACGAAAAGAGATGGTAATCTCTGTGAGCTCTCGGAATTGTTTGTTTTCAAAGAGTTCCCCAGTTACTCTTGGCCCATCCCTGTGCGATCTCATCCTTAGTCTAGTTGGCTCATCACTCAGGCACATCCTTAGTTTCCCCTACCACAGGCATAGGGAGCTCTCGTGAACCGCCCCCTGCAGTATTCTGCTTTGCAACTCCTAGTGTCTCACACTCCCCTAACTCTGATTTTTTTTTTCTCTTGAATTCATTGAGATTGTGATTGTATTGCTTGGGAATTCTCCTTTTGCGCTGTTATCTAAGGGGCGCCGACAGGCAGAGCTCCGGGCCGAGCACGGTGTTCAAATAGGACACGTGTTCGTTTCCTTCGGGGCCAGAGTTTTCTCCTGCCTATCTTCCAGTCTCCTAACCCTCTGTGCAGCTCTGTTCATGAGCGCTGGCGTGTTTCACAGTAAGTCGGCGTCAGTTACTCCTCGTGGCCAGGGGTGAGAGTCCATTAATGAGCATGGTGTTTGCTTTCCTAATTTTTGACCCTACGTCTGTGTGTGCGGTGGGATCTGTAGTGCTATTCATTCGGCTGTACGGCCCTGGCACCGCTTCGTGGCCTGGGGTAACCGCTTTCCTTCCTTTCCCCCACCTCCTCCTGCTCCCGAGAGTGACTCTAGCGGTGAGACCCTTGAAACAGCAGCGCGGTTCCATGAAAATAAGAAGTCTAACGACTTATAGAGACAGGTTGTTCTCTGCCATCTGGTTTACATTATACGGAGCAGGAGAGGCGTGTCTAAAGCCATTACCTTTTAAATGCTTCACCGAATGAGCTGAATTTACAAACAAAATTGTTTCTTTTTGCAGAGGAAATTAAAATATACTCTATCATTGTGTGTTGCAGTAAATTTTGCTCTTATAGGAAAAGTGTATCTCAGAGTTTAAATTGGATTTGCGCAGAAAAATTTTTCATCAGTATTTAAATATAATATTAATACAGTTTGTTCAGATCAACTACAGTGATTATTGAGATTATCTTTTTTGTTTGTTTGTTTTCGTGTATGTCTGGGTAGACACACCCAGTGGCCAGATGTGTGGAAATGTACTATTTAGTTTCTGTAATTCTCTCAATTCTTCAAACTGGACCCCCCTCCCCCCCCCCCCAGTTAGTAGGGGCACTCATTACTTTTTTTGTTTTTTGCTGTGTTTGTTTGTTTTCTGTTTCAAGATGGGGGTTCTTTGTGTAGCCCTGGCTTGCACTGTAGACCAGACTGGCCAGGAACACAGAGCTCCTCCTACCTCTGCCTCCCAAGTGCTGGGATTATAAGCGTGAGCCACCAAGCCTGGCTTGTACTTGTTCCTTTAAGGTTGTCTGTTTCTGGTGGAAAGCTTAGTCTTTTTCAAATCAATAATTAGCATATTTGCTTTTGCAAGGCTTCTCTCCTTAGGCCTCCAGGGGATAATTTGATCTGCGGTCTTAGAGAAGCTGGAAAGGCTAGGGTGACAAAAGGAAGTTTATTACCAGCTCTAGAAAGAGACAAAGTATAAGGCAAAGAGGCAGAGAGAGAGAGAGAGAGAGAGAGGTGGGGGGAGAGAGAGTGGGAAAGAGAGAGGAGGAGAGAGGAGAGAGACTGTAGTTTTAGTTCCCAGTGTTCAGGCAAATTCTCCAATCTGTGAGCCGTTCTGTTTGCTTGTCTCCCTGCCTTGCCAACTCATAAAGTTACAGCTTTCACCTTTTTTGCTGTGAAATCTCCATAAATATTAATTAATGGCTTATTATAGAATCAAAGCTTCTGGAGTCATCTCTGCAGAATGCTTGCAGTGTTCACTTTGGCCAGCAAAGCAGCACATTTACCACATTAATCACACCAATACCTTAGTAAGTGTTCAGGCGCCCCCTTGTGGGAGTTTCTGGGATTGCAGGCAGATACTTCCCATGGCCCATCTATGTACCTACTGTATTTCCATTTACAAAGTATATTTTTCTTTTTTCAATATGGACACCTTATCTATTTAAGATCAAATGTTATTTTAATATCAAATATAAGTATATATTACATGCAACAAAACTAGCAACAACTTTTAAATGGCAGAATATGCAAATTTAATAGGGGTCTTTCCAGTCAAAGTTTGCTCTACAGCAATTCTGGGACATATGTCACCACAATTTGGTTAGAAAGTGCTATTGATTTTAGGAAGCTACATGATATACTTAATGTAATGTGATGCAGATTGCTTCCAAGTTACAGTACTTAACTTTAAAGACTGTGTGACATAATGCGTTTAAGACTGCACACAGATATATTGACTTTAACCAGGGTGGGGGTGAGGGCTGAGGAATAAAAGCCCGTTCAAATATTTCCCACTTTTCTCATTTTCTCACTTAGAAAGATAGAGAAAAAAAAACAATTTTCAATTTTGACATGAAAATATGACTTTCATAACCCTTCCTCTCAGATTCAGAAATTTTGTCTGTCTTGTTTATAAAGATAACAACCCATGTGCCTGAGAGGGCTGCTGAGCTGAGACAGAAAGTGGCGATAAAAAAAAGAGCATGGGGTCAGGACGCAGTATGTGAACTGTGGGTTCAGTGTCTGGGGGCCACTGTCTGCGATTACTGGTGGCCACCCAGCATCCTTTGGGGCGGTCAGAGTCTGACACCCTTGGCCACCCGTGTAACAGCAGTGGATTGGTTAATGTAAAGCTTTGGATTTGTAAATAGTTTATACTCCTCCTTTTCTAGAAATCAGTAATGTACAGCATTGAAAGGAGCCTTTCAAGCTGGCTCAGATCCTCTGTGTATCATCCTCTTCTTCCTTCGGCATTTAGACATATGTCTTTCCAGCTTTTTCTTTTCAGGGTACCCATGAAAGCAGAGTATATTGGGTGTGAAGTATAATTTTCTCAGTACATGTTTTTGAGACAGGGTCCCATGTAGCCCAGGCTAGTCTTGAATGCACTGTGTAGTGAAGGTTGGCCCTGAACATTGTCTGCACCTGCCTGTCTGTTGGGTGCTAGGGTTATAGTCAGAGGCCTCCACATACGGTGTCAGTGCAAACTTTAAGCCACTGATTCAGAACGAAATCTTTAGTGTTTGTTCTCTCAAGCAACCAGAGCAGGACAGCTTGCTGGGGAGGCATTGCCACTGGGCACTCTAAATTTTATACCTGGTACAGTAACTTTCAAGAACCTACCATTAATGGTGTTGTCCTGTTCAGACATTAATACTCACCAGTTATGTTATAATGTTAACTGAAATTCCCTAACCCTGGGAAAGCATTCTGAAGCAAAATAATTTGCCTAAGAGTTGATAACCACTTTCAGGATTGATTCCTTTGCTCTGGTGGATGCACCCCACCCCTGCACGGACTTAGTGGGTCAGACGGCCTCTGACATGAGCTGATTGGCCTGCTCGTTGATCACCTCCCCCTGAGGGGGGAGCAGCCTTACCAGGCCACAGAAGAGGACAATGCAGCCACTCCTGATGAGATCTGATAGACTAAGATCAGAAAGAAGGAGAGGAGGACCTCCCCTATCAGTGGACTTGGGGAGGGGCATGCATGCAGAAAGGGGAGGAAGGATGGGATCGGGAGGGGAGGAGGGAGGGGCTTATGGGGGGGATACAAAATGAATAAAGTGTAATTAATAAAAAATAAAAAAGTTAAAAAAAAGGAAAGAAAAAGGCAGGAAGTCCGGAGGTGCTGTGTTGGGCGGGGTGGAGAGGCAAAATGGCACATATATGATAATATTTTGTTGTACATGTGTGTGAAATCCTCAAGAATAAAGAGAACTTGAGCAAAAAGAATCACTCTGAAAACAAAACATAGCAACAAAATTGGATCAATGTGTGGAACTGAAAAATATAAATAAAAATGATCTATGATAGCACCTAAAACAGTAAAAAGTAATACCCATTTCCATCTAAATCAGATGAATCACTATTTTAAAAGCTTCCTTATTTGTTCGCTGGAGAGACCATTCAGCTCTTAAGAGCACTTGTTCTTTCAGAGAGCCCAGGCTCACTTCTCAGCACCCAAATGGCCGCTCATCCATGACTCCCCAGTTCTAAGGAATTCGACCCTGACTTCTGACCTCCCTTGACATGAGGCATGCATGTGGCTCACCTACATATATGAAGCCAAAACACTCATACACATAAAACAAATAAATGTAAAAGAAAAAAAAATATTCTTTATTTGGAGTGGCTTTCTAGTAACAACTGTGTCTCTGGATGTTTTGTGTGGGATTATTTTTATATGTAAAAAATGAGCAAGCATGAAGTCTATGTTAAAAATGATGAAAATTACAGGAAATGTACTGTAATGTAATGTACTGAATGCAATAATGTGATTACTTAATTTCAGGACATGGCCTTTCATTATCAAAAGCCCTAAGCAGTATAGAAACCTCTCTTTCATGGATGCAATGAACAAGTTTAAATGGACTAAGAAAGAAGGGCTCTCCTTCAACAAGCTGGTCCTTAGCCTACCCGTGAACGTGAGATGTTCCAAGACAGACAACGCAGAGTGGTCGGTGAGTGCAGCTTGTTCGCCTCTGGGAACCTGCCTCTCACCATTCCCCTTGATTGCAGAGAGCGAAGTCTAAGCTTCGGGCAGCCATCCGTGTGTCAGTGGTGCCGGTGTCCTTCCATGTTTGATTGGGGAATTTGTTCGGTGATCATTTGAGATGACGGACAACCCCTGATCCCTGAGAACTCTCCTTGAAGAAAGAAATTTATTCTGAAAATGGTGAAGTGGTGATTCATAGGGTGGCTTTCGAAACCACGGGGACCTACTTAGAGCTTTCTCCGAGGCATGCCTAGTCCGTTTACTCCACTCCTCTCTGCCAGGGCTAGCGTTTCTGCCTCCTCCGATGCTCAGCCTCTTCACCAAGTGCAGCCTACACCCCTGTCTCCAGCAGAGGCAGAGGTGGCTAGGCAATGTCTTAGCTGGTTTATTGCTGTGTTAAGACACTGGGATGACGTCAACCCAGAGCAGCGGTTCTCAACCCCGTGGGTCGAGGTCCCTTTGGATGTCCTGCATATCAGATCTTGACGTTATGATTCATGACAGTATCAAAATGTCAGTTATGAAGTAGCAACGGCATAATTTTATGGTGGGGGTCACCACAACTTGAGGAACTGTATTGAAGGGTCGCAGCAGTAGAAGGTTGAGAAGCACTGATGCAGAAGGAAGAGCTTATTGGGGTCTTACTGTTTCAGAGGGTGGCTCCATGACCATCGTGGTGGGGAACCTGGCAGCAGGCAGACATGGAGCAGGAGCAGTAGCTGAGAGCCAACATTCGTATCAGGAGTAGGAAGCAGAGAGAGAAAGAGAGAGAGAGAGCACTAACAGACCTCAAAAATCTGCTCCCAGTGACACACATGCTCCAGCAAAGCCACACCTTCTAATCCTTCCTAAATAGTTCCATCAGCTGGAGACCAAGTATTCAAGTGTATGAGCTATGGGGGTCATTCTAATTCAAACCACTGAAGTGAGCTAGGCCACAGCCTTGTTCTTAAACAGCTGCTCACAAGAACTGCCTTTTTCTTTTTCAGATTCAAGGGATGACAGCGCTGCCTCCTGATATCCTAAGGCCTTACAAAGCAGAACCTCTGGTGTGCAGGATACCAGCTGCCTCTCCCCTGCTTGGCATTTCCTCTCTCAGGTTGCTGGCGTGCTCTCTACTTCTTGGAAGCGTGCTGAGCACCCAGGGCTGGTGACTGCTGTCCATGGTGACCCTGGAGTCTGGAATCTGACACTGTCCTTTAAACCCAGGTTGAAGACCGTGTTCACATTGGGCCTGAAAAGATGAGTGTGAGGAGCCTGGACACTTGGATTTAGCACACTCCTTCCATTTTCCTCTCCAGGCTGCCTGAGCGATGCCACTGGGCTCTCCGGAGTTTCCTCATAAAAGTCAATGCTCTGTGCATAGGAATAGGAGAATAAAAGGGACCTAATGTAACCACTCTGAAAGTTCAGTAAAGAAGAATCTTTAATTTGTTTTTACATTCCATGTTATTATTGTTCAACCCGACCCCATCCTTCTCTTCACAAAGAAGTGTACTTTAACAACACCAAAGGAATTACTCTCGCTCTAGTCTACTCACCTTCCTTTCAAGGTGTCAAGTGCAAGTGTGAGCACAATCTTTTTTTTTTTTTTTTTTTTTTTTTTACATTTTCCAGTCCCTGTGTTTTCTATGACTTCTTCATGGCCCTCTGACCTCAGTGCTTTGCAGTGGTCCCTCTTTTGTTTTCCTGATTGTCTGAGTCTGTTGATACCCAAACCCACATCAAAGTACCTCCTCGTCTCTGCAGCCCTGCTCTGCTGAGTCTTTTTCTTAATCTCTGTAACTCTTCTAAAAGAATGAGATTTCGGTAAGTGTGGAGATGGTGGTGGTTGGTTGCAGACTAAGAAGGAAGTTCAGACAGCTGCAAACCTCTTTCCCTGAGGGCTTCTAGAGGAGATGAGATTCCAAAGCAGGGAGGAGAGTGTGAGCTGGCAGGAGGCAATGGGGCCTGCGAGCTTCCTCACCACTGGGCGTTTCACATCGGCTCAATCTGAGTCATATTTCCTACGATAGATTTATTTTTGTATTAGTTAATAAAAAATATAAAGTTGCCGCCAATTGAAGATCTTATCATCTTTTGGTCCTCTTCGTATTACCTAGTTAAATCTTGTTAAACGTCCTGTGTTCGTCCATTAAGCTGGATGTATCCTAGAACCTTACTTGGCACTAAGTTATGAAAGGAAACAAATAACACTGGTGAATAAATAAGTTGGCAAGTGGACGACTAAAATGAAATACTTCATGCTGTCTGAAATACAATGTATGTCCCAAACTTACATATAATAAAAGCATGTGTCAAAATTTTTTTTTAAAAAGTAAACTTTTTGTGTAGTATCTTATATGGTCCATGAGAGAATCAAGGCGTTGTATACTGCTATCAATAAAATCAGCTGGAAAACTGCTTTTTCCACTTTAAGCCCTTTCTGTCTTATAAACGTCATATTGTCATTTAAATAAATATATTTTAGATTGTTTGCTCCTTGACTCAAAGAATTTTTACATTTGAGAAAATAGTGATGTATCTTGTGGTTCATTTTACTCACTTTCATTCGTGTGAATGGTTTATATTAGATTCTATGATATTTTTTTTCATTAGAATTTTTGCATGAGAAATATGATCACCCAGATACCTCCTGTCTGAAATATCATGTTCACTTTTACTTCAGGATTTCTGGGCCTGAGGTATCAAAACCAAATGGTTTGCATTGGAAACGAGTCAGTACTATATCCATTGCCATTGTTCTTGCTTAGCGGGGAAGGTGAGCACAGCAACCACAAGGGAAGCATGTGAGGAGTCAGCTTACGAGACCTCTTTCCGCTGGCGTTGCTGGGCACCAGGTTGGACCTGACATTCCCCTCGGGTTTCCTATGCCTATACACGGCTTTGAGGAATCATATGTATGCTGGGACTGGGGAGATCAGGTAGTGAGAATTCCACACAGTACTTACTATGTTCTAAGCTGTTTGATTTGGTGCTAAGTAGTCCTCCTTAAACTGTCCTCGCTTCTTTTCCGTGGTCTTCATGATGCTGCCTTGGGCTAAGCCAACACAAGCTGCTTCCTAAGGTTGTAGGAAGCCAAACAGATGAGGCGACCTCTGTTTTGATCTTGAGCTGCAGTGCATGTGGGGGAGACATGAAGATCAGAATTCATCGTGGTGGAGGGGACCTTGAATGGTCAGACTTTTCTGGAAAAGTGTAGGTGGGATCCCAGCAATAATAAGACTGCTGGACTCAGCTGGGGCAAATAGACTGAGCAGCACTGACCTGCCCCTAATGCTAATGGCTGCAGAGACCAACTGAAGAACATTTGGAGCAGAAATAATCATGTCATACAGTGCATAAAGGCTATTTCTGCTTTTCTATGTGGTGGCCGTCATCTAACTTTCTTATAAAAAATTCTCATACCTCTGGGTATCTCTCTACAACTGATTCAATATAAAAGGAATTAGGGGAATAATTGTGTGCATTTCTATGAATTTTGGTGAATATCTGTAGTTGTTCTTAACTTTTCCTCAAGGATTTTTGACATCTAACTATTTATTTACAGAGAGGACAAATGTTTTAAGTGTGATAAAAGAATAACAGTTGTAGTGCTAGGATTAAGGGTTCAAGGGTTCATTGTATTATTCTTGCAATTGTTTTTGTTTGGAAGTATTTCAGAATGAGAAGTTCCAAATACAAATTAGAGAGCAGCACAGCAATGTTGACTCAACCAAGGCACACACAGGGAAGTGGGCCTCTGCCCTCTAAAGTGTCCCTACCATTGGGGGTAACAAAGGAAGAGGTTATGCAGTGTGCTGAGTCAGACTCAGCGCTGTTTCTGGCCTTTGTGCTAGATGTACAAGCAAGTAGGAGAGATGACTGGCTTCCAGGTTTTCCACTTGTCACTAAATGAATGAGTTACCTGTTTCAACATCTAAAAAGGGAGAGTTAGGGCAAATAATCAGGAAAGAGAAATAATTCCAAAAACAAAAAATCAAGGAAGAATTACAGTTGGGAATCATTACAAAATAAACACACAGAGGCTTCCCTCTGGTTATAAACCTAATGTGTGGCAGTGTTGATACACTAAGGAAAAAAATAGAAAATATGGTGAATCCGAGAAAATGTATAATTTTCAGATGTGCATGCTTCTAGTATATGTCCATGAAGGTACATATTTAGAAGTTGATAGAAATGCTAGGAAACATTAAAATTTGGAGCAAATTAAAAATATTACTGTTTTAGTTGCAGAAAGGTTATTTTGTACTTAATAGTTTAAAGGGCCTGGCCCATTTTGTGAGTCCCTTTCCTTCCTGTAGAGAGCCAAGGACCCAAGAGTTCTATGCTTTCATCATCCTTAGCACCCAAGGATACTCTGCATCTAGCTGATACTGGAGAAAGACTACAAAGAAGGGCCATACGTCATCTCACTTGCGCTCTAGTCATTAAAATTAGTCATGTGTCCTCATTCAAATGTAAAGACTGGGAATATAGTCTCTGGTACCTAGACAGTGATGATTCCAAGATGGAAAGACATCCTGGATGAAGCATATGTGCTAGCAAAAAAATTGATTTTTATCAAGTCTGGCGATTCAAAGGTTTTTGAGTTCTAGGAAGAACCACCACACTATATCAATTCTATATTTTGCAAAATAGAATCCAAACAAATAGTTTTTATTGTTAATTGTGTTAACTGCCTACTTAGCTGTAGACTCTCAATGAGTGTTGATATAAAAAACTGAACAAAATTAGGCAGTGTCTGCACCACGATGACAAGAGCCTTGTAATGAAGCTCATAACTTAGTGAATCGAAACTTATCATCAAAAGGTTATTTTTGAAAATGGGTAGATTTGGAACAGATGTGAATCCTTTAAATTGAATGAAAAAAGCTTTAGGAACAACCTTCTTCATCATTAATTTTCCCAAAGATGCTTTGAATCACTAAACTGATTGTGATCGTTGTGATCTTGATTGGCAGTCCAAATCCCAACAGAGTCAAATTGATGCCCAATGAGCAGGCAATCCTTAAGCAAATCGACTCAGGGAAGAATCTGTTACTGCTCACATGAGAGCTATGCTCTGTGGAAAAGGAGTAGGGTGAAAATTATTACAAAATACACCATGCCAACTATAGAATTTCTGAGTATCTGATTATGCCTTCCAAGTCCTTGAGAATTTGCGTACCATGAAAGGTCTCCCAGACTCACTGGCCACTGGACCAATGGTCAAGAGACAACATTTGTCAAGGAACATGGTCTGGGATACAACTTTTTGAGCAGAGCATATCTATATTTCTATAACAAATGTTTAGGTACTTCCAAACTTCCTGGGAAAGTACAAGTTCTAGTCTAGTCAACATAACTCTTCTGTTTGTGCTCACTGATTCTTTACCACTCTGTTTTATCAAATTATTAAATAACCTATTGTTTTAAAGCTAGAGTGGTACAATTTATAAGGAGAAAGGACTTTACTTTTTTTTTTTCCAGATAGTTTCTCTGTGTAGTCTTGTCTGTCCTGGGCTCACTTTGTAGAACAGCCCAGCCTCAAACTCACATGTGCCTCTGCCTCCTAAGTGCTAGGATTAACAAAGAATGTCACAGGGATACCAGCATGTAGAGATTTATGGTCTATTACAAAAGATGGAACTGGCTACAGGATGCTCTTCTTGAGAACCTGTGACTGGGTCACTCCTGGTCCCGAAGGGAGAACCTACTAGTATTATTTTGTTAAATTGTCACAGGGTCAAACTGGAGGCAGATTTGATATGATCTGATCTAAATATGCTCTAAATACATTGTGTAGATGTGTGAAAATAACAAAGAATATGTTTTAAAAAGGATATACTTTGGCATGAGTTACATGGTATGAATGGGATATTAAGAAATGTTGACAAGCCGGGTTTGGTGCACACGCCTGTAATCCCAGCACTTGGGGAGGCAGGGGCAGGCAGATATTTGTGAGTTTCCTTCACAGTCTATAAAGTGGGCCCAGAGTAGCCAATACACAGAGAAGCCCTGTCTCAACAAACAAACAAACAAACAAACAAACAGAACAACAACAACAAAAACCAAAGAAATATTGACAAATGTGGCTAAAGATGCTTGGAAAGTTTCAGCACTGTAAAGACTACTTCCACCCACTGAGTAGTCTGTGTCCCCAAGAGAAAGTTGTAGTTTAAAAGTATGCATTATTCCTCAACAGTGGAAGAAAGGAATCCCAGGAGATCTATCTGAAGCAACTCTTCCACCTGTTCTCCCTTTTGTCATTTTTATCAGCCTTCTATCACTTAGGGAAAAGGGTTCCCAGTGGTTCATTTGGTAACAGGTAGCTGAGTCAGTTCACCACAAGGAAGCCATGCTGTAGCCATTGGCGACAATTGTTTGCTTAGGATTCCCCTACTTGTCTTTTGATTAACAATACTCAGAGGACTTTGTGGTCTCTGCCTATGATTCGTTTAATGAAATCATTTGTTTCCCAGTTTCGCCAAGATTTGAAGAAGGGTTGATGTAATATGAAAATAAAGAGATATTGGGAAAGGAGTTCAATACTGGAAAGGATACTCTACAGAGGGAACAAGCGTGAACTATCCCACGTTCCCCAGCTGCTCATTGAACACTGCCACCGGAGGAGCATGCCTGTGTATAATAGTTTAGAATTTGCAAAGTTATTTTTCATTGCTTCTCGTTTAACATTAAGGCTGCTTTTCTAAATGAGTGTTTCTCTTCAGGAAAACTCAGCATACGGCATGCTGAGCTGCAATGACGAAAGGAGGCTCAAGTTCTAATCCTTTTACAACCTATGGGTAAAGAAGCTAAGTGAAAAATTGCAGAGCCAATGACAACCATAAATATCAGGTCCAAGGGAATTGGACAACACTTTCTAAGGAGTATTTAATGACTGGCTCTTCACAGCTTACATCTTATGCTTCTGAGAAGAATAAACAGAGTACCTTTTGCTCTCTTTACTCTCCTGTAAAGAGTCTGCTTTTATTGACGCTAATAAAACCTGAGAGTTACTTTGTCTTCTGAATGATTTATTTTTCACGGAGATTGCTTTACATTTTAAATCTTTTTTCTCTTGCATATTTGATTGATGCCCTTACTCATAATTTTGACTGCTTCATAAGTTTGCTTCAATAATTAGGCTCTACCTAGAAAAACAGATATTTCCAAATAATCTTCCTGAGTTAAATGGAAGATAACTAAAAGTCTGATAGCTAAAAATATGGAAAGATACCAGGCAAGCAAGATGAGGAGAGAGTAGTTAGTTACATTAAAGGAAGATCACAACAATGACCAGCTGGGCAAGAAAAGTAGGGATGTAATAGCACACACATATCTTGGCAACAACCAAGAGTTCTCTAAGTGGTTTAAGATCTACTCAACAAGAGGAAAAACAAGTCTGGTATTGGAAGCCTATCCAACTACTCAGGGCTATGGAAGTCAT